TTGGTAAAATTATCTAACCAGATTTTAAATTCTGGCCAATTCGTAAAGGTAAGACCAATTTTTAATTCAAACGGATCCTCCGTTTCTTCTGAATCAGTATCAAGTAGTTCCTCCATTAAAGACTCTCTGGTTTGAATGGTTACCTGATGATCATTGAAAATTTTCTCCACTAAAGACTCTCTGATTTGAATGGGAATGGTAATCTAATGATCATCTCTATCAAAATGTTTCTCCACTAAAGGCTCTTCGGTTTGAACAAGAATGGTAACCTGATGATTATTTCCATCAAACTTTTCTTCTATTAAAGAAGACTGCCCGTTTTGAATGGTCTTAGCCAGATACTGATAATCATTTCTATATTTGTTACTAGAAATGAAGTTGTTCGAAGGAATAGACGCCTAACAAACAAAAGAAAGAAAAAAAAATTAGAAAGAGTTGGTGAACAAAACCAAAAAAAGGGTGATAACAAAGACTAAAGAGAAGCGGAAGTATTTACTTGTGAATCGATATTGACATTTTTATCATTTGTATCATCGTGGCTTTCTTGATATGTATTAATTATTAACGTGTTCTTTATTTCTTGCGAGGTCGATATTTCTTGCAACATGCTGTTTTGTTTAACCTAAAGAAAATTTTTCGTTTTGGCAAAAAAGAAACTATTTTTATTGTTGGTAAGACTTTCATATGTCTGATAAACAATGACATAACTATGATTTAATTAGTTTCGCGTGATAAACCACAGTAAATATCACGTGACTTAGACACGTTACGCAACTTTCCAAAAAGGAAATTGTGTAACATTATTTATTAAACCCTAACCTCAATTTTGATAAGAAGCAAAATTTCCTTTTTTGGAAAGTTGTATAACGTCACGTGATGTATGTACACACACACTGTGTACATTAAGAAATTTTCATAATAATAATATAAAATTTTAATTTAAATAACTTACCCAATTAGATTTAATATATGTGTAGGGCATGGTATATGTATTAATTGAGGCATAATTGGTTTTAAAACATCCCGATAACACTTCTTCATGTATGCAGCAGAATCAGAGAGAAATAAAAAAGGAAGTTTCAAAGGAATATTATAAAAAAGTA